TAATAACAACTTCAGGATTCAAGACTTGTTTTTGGCATATTTCCACATTTTAAATGAATTATCTTTTTCTAATTTCAAAAATAATTTTCTTGGTACACAAAACGTATAGATGTTCGTAGAAAATAATGGAATACTACATTGGAATTTATTATTGATGTTTTGTTATTCCTTTCGTTTGTATCAATTGAATTTGTTATAAACATAGAAACCTAGAAAATAATTGGATATGGTTAGATTGAGTGGCGAGAAAGAATCTCTGTGATTGACAATAAAAAAAAAATTGATCTATAATTCGGATGATTAAAGTTCCACTCAATTGAGTAGATAAGTTCATACATGAATTAAACGAATGAAAAATGATCGAATTGAAAATTAAAAGAAAATCTCGGGAACTAGAACGGCAGCCACGCAGGGAGACTACTTGCCACTCAATAATTCAGTTTATTGTGAGCAATGTTTTAATTCTACGTACCAAAGCTTTTTTTGATCAGATTTTTAGTTTGAGCCTCTCTTACTCTTTGTCGTGGTCCAAATTTTTAAATGAAAACCCGCAATTTTAGGTGTGGATGATTTTTATTTTTCTTAACGATTTTATCGCATTCACCTACAATTTTCAAGGACTTTAATATCTGATTAAGATCGAAATGTAGGTTTGATAATTTCAATCTAAATGACGCCACAATCATCAATTTATATAAGTTTAAGAGATTTTACATTGGAAGAAAATTGTCTAAAATTTGTTTCATAATAATAAGACGTTAGAATACTAAACGTCTGATTATAAATGTTGTAGCGGATAGAAGGTCGGGCTTCCCGAAAAAAGGCTCAAAAGTACTCACACGAGCATAACTCACACGCGTGACACTCGTCCCGACTCACCCATACAATTTTACTAATTTTCTAAGCCAGAGGATTTCATCGCATGCAAAACAAAATTTATAATGTAGAATAGCAAAGCCAGAGCAATAGAGAATTTCTTACTAGGTCCCTCGTTGCCAGATTGCATGATGGCTGCTACGCGGCTAAGCTGCTGCTGTAGACTGTAGCCACGAATATAATTTCTGAAATACTGGGTCCGATCCACTGAACTCCTCCACAAGGTTCAGAAACACTTAATTTTTCAACTCCAAAACTTTCATCCCTCAGGACACACGTCGATGTAGTGTATTAATTACAATAATTTTTCCCAAACGGCTATGAATCAGCTGACAACCCGTCAACGTTCCACGTTATTGCTGACTGCTGGACGTTGGTAGCGTCTTCGACTTCGTCTTTGTCTTCGAGAAAATCGATAGCTCATAAGAATCATAATTTTTATTGATTGGTCTATTGACGACGTTTTGGTATACCCCTTTCTTCGCTCGTGGCGTGGAAGTAGCCGAAGAAAAGGGGCTCGAAATTTGAATAAAATTTCACTTATTTTCAAGATGGTTATCCTTTCTCAATCACAGCTAGGATAGATTTGATAGCCCTCAGGTACGTATTTCTGTACTATGAGCTCCATAGGATATAAAAGAAGAAGGGAAAAGATTAGTTTTCACACGTTCCTATTGAGCATGGTGTATGTTTAATTTTTGATTTAGACTTGAGCTGACAGGACGTTTTCTACGTGCTAGATAAAATTTAATAAAATTGAGAGAAGCTGATAAATTTATCATTGTTCAGACTTTGAGTCGGCTGATTGAAAAAATGAATGATAAAAGATTCTAGGTGGACTGAAAAGGTTGGATGCTAGAAGGTTCAGAGAATGAAATTGCACTGACATAAAAGAATATGGTTTTCTGGGTTTTTTATTAATAAAAACACTTAACCTATAATTATATATCTAATCAACCACAAATTGTTTGTGAGTTGTCCATTAATTGTTCATATAATCCACTAAAAAAAATAGTCTGAGTAATAGAACCACAAAAATGATCTCACACAGCGACAGGCACACAATACAACGGAGGTGTTCGGATGTGTGCTATACGTGAGACTGGGCTTGAGGAACTATGGCGTCGATGCCAACACAGCTTCGCGCCCAAAAACACAAAAACTGTTACTCTTGGACTACTCGCACTGTGTAGACTGATAATTTTTATTCACGTTAGTCCGTGGGACACTAACTGAGACGACTGATCTTAATTTTTGCCACAACGCGTGAGTTTACTGAATCAATCCGCGATTGGACTGCGTGTCAAATCACAGAGTCGACCGCATGATTTGTCTGGAGTAACAGACGCCACAAGTGCTCGCCCGCGTGCTTGTCGGCATCACTAGGGGCGTAGAGTCGTCTGCTGAGCTATGAGGGAAATCCTTTTCGATGATTGGTCCAGTAAGTTGACTGACGCGCCGATGAACAAGTCCGGCATTGCACAATTTTTAAATATTTTTAGACTCGCTGACTCAGGGCCCTCTGAGACAGAAAAATCATCAAATTTATGAAAATCGCTAATTAGTCTAGTAGCCGTGTGAATTTATCGTGCATAAATTATAGAATGATGATGAAAAATTTTTGGTTATATATTCTTGTAAGGGATGATGAGGAGAGTATTTGTGCAAGTTTTTATTACTTAAAAACAATAATTACTAATTTTATAATTACTAATGAGTAATTATAAAAAATTTTTCGAGAACATGAATCAGTGACAGCTAGTTTGTACTAATGGTGGAGTGACTGTAAAAAAATACATTAAGTAAAAAAAAATTGTTTATTACAAAAAAAATGTTTAAAAAACAATTAAGAAAAAATATTATAATTTTTCCGGATGCATCATTTGACAAAGCATCGTTCATTATCGAAAAATAAATTTTCTAATAACGATAATTGTTATTGGAACAATTTTTTTTATTAACAATAAAAAACTAACATTCTATAAATGAATTTTCAATAAATCTATCATTCTGTTAATAATTTTTTATAAAAAAACTACAAATTAAATTAAAAAAAATTTTAAATAATTTAAAATTACGCATTTGTTTATAAAATCTATCTATAACAGCTAATAACAAAAAATTTTTTTAAATCGTTTCATACTCTCCACATAAAGATATGAAACTGTGCTGTACATAATTTTTATATTGAAAAATAACTTTACCCTTAAAATAAGGGTGAAAGAATCTAAAAGCAACATTTGGATTTTTTTCGGTATGAAGAAAATTTTTTTTTCAAACTGAGATAGCTATTTTATATACCGGGAAAAATCCTTTCTGCTTCTAAATTAGCTATTGAATGTGCCCATAAACAAAAATATGTGAGGGTCCAAAGTTCACGAAAAAAATCAAAAAAAAAAAAAGACACTTGAGATAGTTTAAACAATCGAAAAATTCATTTTTTTTTAATTTAATTAAAAAATATTCAGAAAATGATTCTGAACATTCCAGAATTTGTCCAGATTTCGTTAGATATTGGGAATATTTTTTTTCTAAATGTTAATTAAAATGGCGTTCAACGGCATATTCCCCTGAAGCGCTCGAAACGCTCGATTTTTATCGCGCCTTCGCGACGCTGTACATTTTTAGCTGTCCACGATAGACAGGTGATCTTGCAGACTTTTTTGTAGAAAATTCGATTCTCTACAAAAAAAATGTTAGCTTTTATTTATATTTCTTACCATTCTCGCTACGTACGCGATGGAAAGTGGAAAAACGCAATTTGCCCAACTTTGAAGCTCGATAAACAATAGTAATTATTGTTTCCGAGCAATAAAAATGTGCACAATTACTCTCCCCATCATCCCTTACAACAATATCTAACCAAAAATCCTTTATTATCATTCTATAATTTATGAACGATAGAATAGGGCTTAAATTTACGGCTACTAGACTAAATCTAATTTTCGGCAAGTCTACAATTCGATTCAACAATTATTGAATAAATCAATTATAACCATTTAGATTCAAATATTCAAAATCAACTACGCAAAGAGTAGTGTAAGGATAGAGGGACTCTGATGAATATAATTAATTTTATTCAAATGAAATATGTGACGGATAATTATCTTAAGAGTTTTAATTATTTTCTAAATTATGTAATGAGATTAAAAAATGTCCACATTCTGTTTAACAACTTACTTTTTTACTATACTATTCCAACTCACACTAAAAATAATTTAACAAAAAAAGGTTCATATTGAAGAAAAATGAATCCATTTTTTTGGAAATTTTTTGTAAAGGAGCGTGGCCAATTTTTCAAATAATAAGTTTTAAGAAACAATCGCATGCCGAATCTGTTACTGAAGTAATCGAATGAGGTTTTCCAAGTCTTTTATAGCATGTTTAATTCATTATAATAGATAAATTGCAATTTTGAAGTGCATAACCTTAATAGACTGTGATTCGAATAGAATAAAGACAAGGTAGTGCCTTCGCAACTGCCATTTTAACTTGGTATATGAGATACTAATAGAAAAAACGTGTATCGTGATATGCAGTTTCGAATGTGTATAGTAAACTCAGAAAAATTCTATAATTTCTATGATTAAAAATACCTCTATTTTAAGATAAATTATATTCTATTCGATAGATATTTTTAAGATGTGATAAATAGTATTGTGATTCGATTAATAAATGTTTATATTTCTAAAAAAAAAATTAATGAGAATGATTGAATTTATTCTCTAATCATCGAATTATGTACATGTATTTGTCCATATGTGAATGTACAAATAAGTCTCCTTATTCACTAGTCCAATTAGTAGAATTCACTGATCTGATTGTAATTAATTGATAAATTTAACGAGTCAAGTATTATTTTATTCGTTTAACTAGTGGAATATCACTTTTTCCTATTCTATCACTAAGTAATGCCACAAACAGTCAATATTTACTTGGAATTAGTAAATAGTTACTTATGTCTATTTAAAGAGTATGTTCCACTAATTGTTTTCTTTTAATCAGAAAAATGATCGTGTAGAACAATTATCGGAGAATAACTTTTTTCGAAGTCGAAAATTAAATATTAAGATTCAAACAGATGGTACAGTATTACATTAATTACATTTTTTTTTGTTACAAAGGTACTACGCAAATTATTGCCGAGGCGATTGTGCAGCTGGTCATCGAACACCTGATACCTTTCTTAACTATTATACACATGTCATAGAAGAATATAGAAAAATGGATAAATTAGCGGGTATGCAGCCTTGTTGTGCGCCTCTAAAATTCTCTCCGATGTCTTTAATATACTATGGACCGGATTCAAATATCATCAAAAGAGATTTGCCAAAAATGATTGTAGATGAATGCGGTTGTCCTTAATAATGGTATACATAAAAATAAATTATAATGATAAATTTATTAAGATCGACATTATCAATCGAATATTAAAAGTGCAATTGAAATAATTCATATTAGTAAAAATTTAAATACGTGTGTTTTTATCCGAGAGTTTTGGATTTCTTAGTCCTTTTTGAGTTCTATCAGTAAATTGTTTAGGTTAAGGTTATTGCTGATGTTCTGAAACTTCAATATTTACGAATTTTGTAATTGTTTGAAGAACTACATATTGACAGAATTTTACATTTGTTTGTAGATATAAATAGTCTATGAAATCATAATTCATGTAACTGTTGATAGAAGAATAATCAAATTTGTGATAATACGTATAACGTGATTTAAGGAGCATTGTATAAGTATGATCGAAAATATAAGTTCAGTTTGGCTGATCGAGCAGTAAGTAAAACGAATATTGTATAATTAAATCAAGAGGGATTGATTGACATAAAAAATAGGAATCATAAGTAGGTAAAGGAAACTGAGCAAAAATTTTCAACAGATTTGTATTTTTGGCTTGAAATATTTTTCGCTTACGAACAAAAAACCAAATGAAACATCCTTATTGCATTCTAATGAATGAAGGGAATCAATTGTAGAATTCAGATACGATGCCAGTAAGTATCAACTGGTCTGACAGGAATATACAATTTTATTAAATAGTTTACTAAAAGTTTTTGCGCTTAATGCATATGTAGACAATTGCAACAAGAATCGTTTCTAAGTTTAAATTGCAATAGTTCAACTGAAAATGAGGTCTTTGAAAAACAGAGAAAAAAAAACAATTTTCGCACACTAACAATATTTCGGTAAATGAGAAATGCAACTTATAGTTGTATATATTTCTCATCCATTTAATTTTTGATTGAATTGTTGAACTGTTAGCAGCAAATCTGATTCATTATATATAATAATACTTGTAACGGAGTCGAGCACTTTTTTATTGTTAAGCATTGAACAATTTAGCTTCAATTTCTAGGTATAAACTATAGTACGACTCTTTATTTTTATATATACGCGAAAAATGAAAAAAAAAGACAACCATCATAGTCGGAAATTGAATGTATATCTCTTTCTATGATCAAAATAATAATTGTTCAAACATTAGTTTTCAAGCTATATTTATGACATACATAGTATTTGTTTTTTTGACTTGACGAATAATATCTAAGAATAATAAAAAACTCGATTTACCAACTTTATTTTATAAACGTCAATGGAAACTTACAATTCGAATTATTGTGTATACTGAGAACATGAGCATTATATTCTTTCGTTTTTTTAATAATAGAGGTGAACTTTGAAAAAGAGTCTTAATGCACGATGTTGCATTCTCTGAAGATGACGTTAAAATTGATCGAAAACCCTGCAGACATTAAAAAAAATTACTTGATCAATTGTAAAGAATAATTAGATAATTTAATTTCGAAAACGTATAAAAATACATAAATTGATCTATTTAAATAATTGCTTGTAAATAGTATAAATAAGATTCATTCTTAACTTTTAAATCTCTATAATTAAACGAATGTTCAAATGCCTTGTCAAGAAGTATATTATAAGAGTATGTGATGAATCTAATATGAATTATTGTCCAGAAATGAATGGAAGTATGTATATTTATATCTAAACATTCATGTATATAAATATAATTTATAAGAGGGAGCAAGAATATTAGTATCAGAGTATTAAGAAAAAACCATCGGAATATTAAACATTTTATACACAGTTCTCGAAAAAAATCAATATAAAATAAAGTAGAAATGGATTTCGATATTCTAAAAACAACAGAGATGAGGCATCCAAAAAATTCTGAACATTTTATAAACATTATGCGTCGAGAAGAAAAATATTCTAAAACTGTAAGTCGTCTCTCAGTATTAAATTGCTCACTTTATAATTAAATTCAATTGCAACATGAGAATGTAGAAAATTGTGAATTGATAAGCTGACAATAATTGAGTCATGTGTAACTAGTATAATAACTTTTGTATGGAAATTAGTTTGGATGAGGAAATCATGGAAAAATTTTGATCGTTTTGAAATAATAAATTGAAGAAATCGGCTGTTCGATTGAGGATCTGAATGCTAATTTCGTCCATTTCTTGTTACATCCAGAAGAGAATTTATTGATAGCAAGTACTCAAATTGTTAAACTTATAACATTCTTCTCCATTGTGATGAAAAATTGTTCGATTACATTGTAACGTTGATAAATTTTGTGGATGGAGTAATCCGATGAAGCCTTACTAGGCCTTATTAATGTTATTATCATATACTTATATTAATATTAATGATATATAAAAGAAACCTTTCTATATCCTTAATTAATCATTACTTTCTCTAAACATTAGCATATATATATACGAACCAAATATTGAAAAATCAACGGTAGCACATAAATAGATTAAATTTTTCAACTCACATAGTAAGTATGAGGATTGATTTTTTACGATTGTAGGATTTTTATATAGTCCATAAAGAAAAACTATTATGAAAGTACAATTCAAGAAGTTACAGAAAATAGAAGTTGATTTTTCCATTCATGACATACAAAACATTTAATTAACGTACATTCACAATGTGACCACATGCATCTTTTTTATCGAGAATTCTTAAGAACTGTACTCACATATATATAAATCTAATCAGAGTGTCATTTGGGGATATTTATTAGATAAAATTTATTATTTGGGGGCATTTGTATAGTTTGAGGACAGTCTCAAAAAAAATCATGTATCCAACGTATTGTTTGAGTCACTGGTGAATATATATACATATAAGGTATCATTCGACGACATGACATTGCCACCTAAACACGAATTTTTTTTACTTTTTGAGAAAAAAAAAATAAGAGCAAAGGCACACTTTAATTTCAGGGTTATTCTTGATTATTTCACAATGCGACTAAAAGACATCCGGAAATTTTGATAAATAAAAGGGGAATTCTAGTCCCCTGTCCCTAAAAAATACATTAAACCGATTTATATATAGAAAGCATAAAATAGTATACAGCGATATTTTCCAAGACTTAGTGGTACTTGTTCTAACATTTCTAATGACGGGTTAAAGTAAAGCGATACTTGTGGAGATTCATTCAGTATCACGACATGTCCATGTTGTCCCAGTTATGAATGAAAAATACTGAAGTGGTGCCCTAAATTTGCGGAATAGAAAATATTATTTTTCCTGTTTGAATAGTGCTAATAAATATGTATACAGATATAGATCAAATAATGTTCAGTTACTCATCACAATGATTTATTTAATGAACTATTTTTACTAGTGAGAGTTTCTCTTACTTTCATACAAAATCATAAAAAAAATTATGAGCAATGTTAATGAAGTCTATTGGGCATAATTGAACAACTTAGTCCACAATATATTAATTTGGAAGTTGAAAGTGAAAATTTTTTATCTATCGAATCTTACAGTTGTCGATAGTAAGTGCATTTGCATAAATTTTCAAAATTTAGAAATTACTATTACTGTTACTTACTCATCATTAAAATTCTGTCGAATGGGTTTCTTGATTTTCTATCAAATGCAAAAATTGAACAATTAACAACAGCGTGGAAAAGCAAACTCATATTTTTTTGGTGATTTTTGAAAAAGTAACAAAATGATTAGAATAATTTTCTAAAGAATCTTCTTCAATCAGATTGAAGAAAAAAGTTTTTGGATTGCTATAAAACATTCCTGTAAAGTAACTGCCGAGTAAATCCTTATCAATTTATGCACGAATTAAGTTGATTTTTGACTTTCTCCGAATTCAATTTTATTTCGCTTAAATTGTGCGTAATAAAAAAAATCATACATAAATTCAAGCAATATATATATATATACAACATATACATTACATAAATACATACAAACTCTGTCGAACTTAACAGCGACAATGATTTCAATCAATATTACTAATAGGATCGGTTTATAAAGCTATGCGCCAAATTTATATTTCGATTATTTCATCTATTTCATATTTTTTTTCAACCATTTTATATATCTGATGCATATTTATACATAGGGAATCTTTTCACTTCGTGTAAGTGCAAAAAATGACAAGTGCGCGTGTCGGAATTAAGAGGTCACAACATTCCTATCCAATAGTAAATTTTCAGTTCTTTCAAGGAAACTTGATACTTGCGTCATGTCTTGATACAATTATTGCTTATAATAATTCGAAAATTACTTACATTAACGCCAAATCCACGGTTGGACATAAAAATATTACTTTTGAATTTCAATACTTGCACTTGTCATTTTTTGTACTTACATTCATTTGAAAATTTCTCACCATGTAGCTATTAGAATGGAAACATAATCTCATCTATGAATATATATGGACTTATAAAGTTAGCTAATAATCGAAATACATCGAAAAAGTAAGCGGCCTTCTCTTTATTGGTTATTTTATTCATGCAATAAACTAAAAAAATTAATAATTTGCATTGAAAATTTACGGTGCATACAAAATGCGAGCTAATTTTCAGTAGCAACAATATAAACGTTAAATCTAACTATGTTTATGCTTAATGTTTACTACAAGAAAGATAAAAACAAACAACTCCAAAACGAATTCAGTATTTCTCAGAAAAATTTTGAAACGATTGAATTTTGGATTTACGGGGAAACCTCGCGAGGTGGTCACCGTCGATTTAGCCGAGGTTGCTACATAATAATCTACGTCGAAAATAATGAACCACGTATTTTTTTCCGATTTGTATCAAATGAAAAAGATAAATTATTTATTTATTGTACGTACTACAAATATAATAATCATTGTGAAAATGTTCAAGACATAATGATTTTCAACACAATGCACAACGGATAATTGAAATATTTTCACATCATGGGAATTCCCAATGAGACTTACAGTTATCTCCAATTGCAGAATCGACTCGATTTTCAAATTCATCTGGTTTGATGAATGTATAACTACTTTTCAACCATGAATAACGAAAAAGATTAATGTATCGTGGAGACGAGATTTGATTATAAGTCAGTGATTGTAATTTAATAATATTATTTCTCCAGTTTAAATTTAAATCAGCATCTCATAATAGAACACTGTCTGGAAAATGTCTTACAAAGTTTTTCCATATCCTAAACCTAAAAACATCTAATGGTTGAATTTGTCCAGTAGCTCCTTTAGAAATAATCATTATCTTAATTTCTTGATCCGGTGGTTTGGCAGACGTGACAGCTTCAGAGCAATGTCCAGTCCACGGATCAATCAAGAGTGAACTTTTTATCAACACTCGGATAAACAACATCATTAAACCAGATTTTAAAATGTTCTAAAAGAAATTGGTATATAAACTTCTAGAATATATCATATAATATAATATTTGAATTGAATTTTTTGCATGAAGTAAGTTTTCCAGATTTCGATATCTCTACGTGTACATTATCTGGTCTAAAAAGCGATGCTTTTACCAGTGGACCAAGTTTTCCAGTGTGTTCTTTTAACACAAGAAAAAGGTTAGTGAGAAGTTTTCCATCAGCTGATATCGTTGGTTGTATATAGTCCAATAGAGACAAAAAAGTCCGCGAGAGCACCTGTCTATCGTGGACAGGTAAAAATGTACAGCGTCGCGAAGGCGCGCTAAAAATCGAGCGTGTTGAGCGCTCCAGCAGAATATGCCGTTAATGGCCTTCTTAATTAACATATAGAAACAAAATATTTCCAGTATCTAACGAAACATTTTTTTTTACATAATGTATTTTTTTACAGTTACTCCATCATTACTACAAACCAGCTGTCACTGATTTATGTTCTCGAGTATTTTTTAATAATGACTTATCAGTAATGATAGAATATTTTTTTACATTTCTTTTATTTTTTCGAATCTCTACATTATTTTTTTAAGTTTTTAATGAAAAAATACATTCTATGCACTTTTCTCGTTCGATTTGGTACATTGTACGTCTTTTTACAACAATATTTACTCGATATAAAGTATTTTTAACTTCTTCAAATATTTAATTGTCCGCGTCTTAATTGTAAAAAAGCGAGAACTTCTAGTGCGGGAGGCCACGTAAGCGATGACTCTTGCAAGTAGCAGTAAGTATTATCAACGGAATGTTGAATTTATTCGCAGTGTATTAATTTTTAATTGTTTATGAAAAAAATAGAATTTGTCCAGATTTTGTTAAATATTAGAAATATTTCGTTTCTATATGTTAATTAAAAAGGCTAACAACGGCATATTCCCCTGAAGCGCTCGAAACGCTCGATTTTTAGCGCGCCTTCGCGACGCTGTACATTTTTAGCTGTCCACGATAGACAGGTGATCTTGCAGACTTTTTTTAGAGAATTCGATTCTCTACAAAAAAAATGTTAGCTTTTATTTATATTTCTTACCATTCTCACTAAGTACGCGATGGAAAGTGGAAAAACGCAATTTGCCAAACTTTAACGTTCGATAAACAATAGTAATTATTGTTTTCGAGTTATAAAAATGTGCACAAATACTCTCCCCATCATCCCTTACAAGAATATCTAACCAAAAATCCTTCATTATCATTCTATCATTTATGCACGATAGCATAGGGCTCAAATTTACGGCTACTTGACTAATCATATAACTGTAAGTTATCGAAGAAACCGTTTGAACCGTGCACTCTTTTTTCCTCTCCTTCAGGAGCTGAAGTCATCTCTGAATATACTTCTAATTAAAAGCCACTTTGATCAGAATTATTTATGTTGTCTGAACCATATGATAGAATTTTAGATATGACATCGGTAACGAGCACTTCGAATGTTTGTTTCAATATTTCATGATCTTTAATCGTGTTTTAAGATATGAATTTGTTAATTTCACGGTAAAAAATATGATGAGCTCCTTTGAATGATAGTATCCACGTTGAAGATGCTTGAAAGCGGAGTTCATCAAATGGTGAATTTATTTTAACTAATAATGCCCATTTTCTCAAATCGGAATCATCTCAGCATCGATTGCCGTTTTAAAATGTTCTAACGTATATTTGCAAATTTGAACTATTTTTTCTTTGTATGTTTCAACTTGGTTCAATTGATTTGCCCATCTTTTTAATTGTCGAGTAGACTGTACTTTTCTGAATTTTTGCTCAACACTATCAAAAAGAATTAGGGTATCGACCTTAATTCTTTTTCTTACTACTTCGCCAATACTAAACTGCTTGCAATTTATAATCATGACTAAAGCTCTCTTAATCAGTAGTACATGCTCCATCAGACACTTTTGGTTCATGGATTGCAGAAGATGCATATTCTTCGTCTTCTATAATTTCTGGTTCCCAATCCTTATATAGATCTTCAAAATGCAATGAATTCTCCTCCATCATTCCGATATCAGTATACCTATTCACTACATTCAATGAAATTTGTTCAAAGTAATTCTTCAATTGTATTTCAGCATCATTTACAGGTGCCTCTTCATTATTTTCATAATTTTTTGTTGTTGAAAGTAACCGAAAAATATTGAGGGGCTCAACTTTCATTTTCAACGATCGAGTGTTACACAATTCTGAGAATAAAAAAAAGCATATTTCTCTTTGAAGCACACGATTTTATACACATATAAAATAATGACTATTACCTAAAATTATAATGAATGCGAGATGCAAAAATATCCATTTACTACAGTATTAAAGATGATTAAAAGATAAAGATTAAAATGTCACATTCGTTTAGAATGCTAGCATTGTATTATCCGTATATTACAATTACAGAAATAATTTTCCTCAAAAATAGTTTATCAGTGACTCTGATAAGAATTATATCTATGTTTGCCTACATGATGATAACAAAAAAAAAATATT